TCACATTCTATTGTCCTTAGAGATTGCAAATATGCTGGGGGAGAAGAGAAATTGTGTTTCTTTAAGTATTTTTTCAACCAAACAAACTTACGGGACCGGAGAGCGAGTAGGGGTGCTGGGCGGGGTAAAAACAATATTCTGATTAAATATACTCATAACACAACCATTTTACAATCCCTTAATCAAGCTTTTAATGTAAAATTTCTTCAAAAAAACTATGAAGAACTGTTTTATTCAGAAATCATTGGCAGGTTACATTGAAGGATATATGCTGACAGTAGTGAAGGTTGAATTTTGACAAACATTGTGAATTGATGTATAGTTGCCAAATCAGCTAATAAATTGTCCTGAATTTCATGCGTCCATTTTTTCAAAGGGAAAAATGACGTCATAGGTTTTAAAATGTTTTTATTTAATTTTTTACTTACTTTAGTTTAACATATTGGTTAAATCGCCAGCAGCCAGCTGTATAGAGAATTGCTTAGCTATAGCTCTAGCAATGAAAACACACGGTTTGGTTGGTTTTGTTTGGTTTTATTTTGGTGGGTTTTGGTTTAGATTGTGTTGGTCTTGTTTGGTTTGATTCTTTGTTTTTATTCGTATGTTAGAAAATGTTTTCTCTTATTTTACCAAAATTGCATTTTTCCTCAACTCAAGCTCTTTATGTTTGTCTCGACAACATTAGAATAGACACTTCATTTTATAGAAAATTCAGTGGAACTGGCAACACTGCTTTTCCTTCTGTCGGAAAATGCGATTTTTCTATATTTGTATGTCATGTTTTACCCAGTTTGTACCATAGATAAATGCAACAAGTTTAGATTGGAAAGCCCGTAAAAGTTTTAGGTCGCGAAATTATTTTGGGTCGCGACCGTTATACGCAATCTGGCGCTGCTATAGCGGTCGCTAAGAACAACGGCCAAACAAAAACAGAAATAATTTTCTCTTGTCAAAGTCAGAATCTTCAAAAATCATAATAATCTTTCAAAATCTAAACCGCTCTCATTAAAGAAATTCCGAAAAGTGTTTATAGCGTCCATTTTCAAAGTTATTATTGCTATCTTGTGAGTTTAAATCAAGTTTTATTTACTCCAATCGGTGATAATTGTGAAAAAGTGGCATTAAACACTTAAAAAGCTGTGCTGTGAACTGTGAACTGCAAAAACCACCGTGGATCGTGGCATAACGTCGGTTTCCAATGTTTCATAGGTATTTCATACATGCGTCCTTATATAAAATAAAGTTTCTTGTATGCAACACACTGTATTTTATTTATAAAATTAAACGAAAATAATAATAAATTTGAATAAACAATATTTGGCGATATAATTCCGGAAAAAGCCGAACCGCTCCGAAATTTTCAAAAGTTTTGGGTCGCGACCGTTGGAAGAATAGCGCCAAATAGTGTTTACATTGTCCTTATGGGCACTTTCCAATCTAAACTTGTTTCATTTATCTATGGTTTGTACGCTTTTACCCCGCCCAGCACTCCTATTCGCTCCCCAGTCCAGTAAGTTTGTTTGGTTGAAAAAATACTTAAAGAAACACAATTTCTCTTCTCCCCCAGCATATTTGCAATTTCTAAGGTCAATAGAATGTGAGTATATAAAATGTTTTCCTTATAATACAAAAATAGCCGAAAACCGTATATGGAACTGTTACCGGTCATAGTACCAAAGTGAAGGAACATACACTTCCCAACCAGATCTCTTGGAGACAACAACCTTTTTATGTAAATCCTCCCCGAAGACTGTTAAGTTTAGTTATAACTGAAGCCTTTAGTCGCGTTTGGCTGAACAACTTGTAGCTTCCTAACCAGCTTTGCGTAAGCCTCGTTTTTTTTAACTACGGTAAAGAGCGGTTCCTGAAAAACATCGGTTTGATACGGAACGGTTTGGTAAAATACTGGAAACGTCAAATGTTGACGTTTTCAAAATTTCAATACCTCTATTATAAAATGTATCTTTTATGCAATTTTAATGTACCTATTCTCTGCTTTTACGTTTGCTTCTTCTTTTCAATGGAGTTTAATATTTAAAAGTACTTTATTAATAAACTGTTAAACTCGTTAGTGAAGATTTGCAGGTCCAATATTAAAACAAATCAATAATAAATAAACAAATCTAATCAATATTTATATTTTTGTAGCTTACAAAATATTCACGATTACTTGTTGTCTTGTTTTTCATGTTCTCTTTAAATGTTCCTGACTTTAAGAAACAATGGCTGCATGATAAGTTTAAATGGTCCTAAAAAGTCATGATATTTATTTACCTTTACTGCCTACCTCCATTGCTTTTGGATGTAAATACAAAATATTATTAGAAATTTTAGAAATTAAATGAGAATTTCACTCGAACTTATATTTGCTTGATTTCTGTCACATAAATGACATTGATTGGCAAACAAAACCAGAAAAACCAGCCTTCTCGCGCTGGTTAGTTTGGTGACAGTTATAACCGAATTTTTCATGAACCGTGTTCCGTAATAAGAAAACTTTCAGGAAACCGATAGAAACGGAACATAAAACCATAACCAAGTTAAGATTGTTCAATATGTGTTTAAAGAAAAACTAAATAATAAAATCTAGTCACTAGTCAATGCATAAATATAATAAAAACGTTGCTAGGTGTCAAAAATATTGTTTCTTAGTCAAAATAACTTCTTCTACTACTTCTACGAGAAAACCAAGCGCAACAATCTAGTCCAAAACGGCCAAAAATGTCTGTGACTCTTTCTAGATATAACGAAAAATGACCTATTTTGTGGTAAATAAAGAACTATGTTACTTACATGTATAATAATGATAGTTGTACGTACTATATTTTATTACTTTGTTGCTCCCATTTATGTGTTAAATTTCTTAAATGTTAAATAAAATATATGTCTACATGAACTCTGTCTTCTATTTTTACTTTTCTATTTTTATACCTGGAATGGGTATCCTCCAACGATGTAAGACACTCGAAGAAATTTCGCAACAATCGAGAAAAATCAAAAGAAAAGATTTACAAGAAAAAATCATTTTTTTGGAAATTTTCACTAGTAATACCACTAGAGGTTGTAATAAAAAATTTCCGGATTTAATTTAACCTCGTGTGGTATTCGGTAAGACAATTCCACACCAAATTGTGTTTGAAAATCAAATAATTAAAATGTATTTTTCGATTTTTGGTCGACTTGATTATTTAGTTACTATGGCAACTAAGTGACACCCAAACCTAAAAACTATTTCAGTTTTGAAGCTGTCAAAAATAATAATATAATGGGTTCTTAGCATATAAACTGTTGATTTCTACTGATTGTAGTAGCACAAAACTGCCATTTTAGGACCTAAAATATTATATTCTTTAATTTTATAGTTACTTGGGCTTACTACAAGTGGTAGAAAATCATAATTTAAAAGGTTTTTCGGAACGCTGCATGAACAGATTTACAGCGCGTCACAGTTTTGGCAGCAATTTAGACCTTTAAGTTGTTGACTTCTACTCGTTGTAGTTGCACGAAAATACCATCTCAAGACACAACACAATATATTCTTTAATTTTACATAAGTTTTGAGTAACTATAAGTGGTAGAAAATTACTTTTTTGCATTTTTATTAACTGTTCATAAACGCTTTATTGGTAAAGTAAACGCCACGAATGTTTGGGAGTGATTCATCGCTTGATGAAGTTAGAATCGACATGCGCGCTATCATTTTTACATTAAAAACGTAAATTTTTACCGCAGACGTAGGTTTTTAAAGGCCCGGTCTAATCATCTGCCTGCGCTCCTCCTACTTATTCCAAAATGTCAGCGTGATTGACAAAGGCGATACTATATCGCGTTTCTTTGATTGATTCGTTTTTGTGGGTTAGTCCATTGGTGTGCTTGCAGTGCGACCAATGGAGCATTCCATTTTATATTTATAACCAAATATATGTTTTGACAAAACTTTGACAGTTAAAACAACAAATTACAACAGACTATATATTGATTATTATATGACTTGAAACACCATGGCACTGGAATTAAGTTTTATGTAACCTTGAACAGATTAGTTCACATGGTAGCGACCGATGAATCACTCCCAAACATTCATGGCGTTTACTATATGGAATTCATAACCAGCGCGCAGCGTTAGCAAGCGTCAATCATAAAAGGCTGTGATCATCGTATTTTTACAGTTTAAAATATCAGAAAAACTCGCGTTTTGTTGTAATCAAGAATATTGTGCAACTTGAAAAACCAACAAAATTGTTTGTTTTAAAAATGAATCTGTTTGAAAATCATACTACATGCAAAATATGCGTGAAATTGTCTGATGTTATGATCAATCATCGTGCGATGACTTAATGACCCGCATTAATAGAGGATTGTGGCTCCTACTTGAAGAAAGAAAATTTGTTTCGAATTGTTCACGAATATTTGCATCTAAACTACTCAAAATTCAAAGTGCTAAATGGAAAAAAGGTGAATAAAATAGTGTCTAAATATTATATATTACATTTCATTAGACATAGACATTTAATTCAGTCCATTTCAAGTCCTACATTTTCGCCATTAAGAAGAAAGGAGGTGTCCAAAGAATATAGAAAACATCTCAACTTTGTAATTGAAATGTATCACAATTATCATGTAAAAAAATAAAAACCAGACTCTCAAAAAGATATTCTGTCATTATAAACGTCAAACAATTTCCAGTATAATTCGCTGTTGGGTACCCACAAGAAAAAAATGTTCACTAAAATTTATCCGTTGCCATGGTGATTTGACAAAAAAACACGTTTTGATTGGTTAAAAATTACAGGTGTGAAATTTTCACTAAAATTTATCCGTTGCCATGGTGATTTGTCAAAAAAACACGTTTTGATTGGTTAAAAATTACAGGTGTGGAATTTTCAAAGTAAAATAATTCGGTTATTTTGGACTTATTCGAAAAACGGTAAAGATAAAATATGTTTCTTTTATCGAGATCTACCAACCCTGAAAATATTTGCACTTATTTAAGGCTCCTGTATCAAAATAAAAAATAATCAAACTAAAAAAAATTAACTCAATTATTAGCACTGATACTTCATTTTTTAAAACACTAATATATAAACTATATCAGTTTCTTCTCAAGTTTTACTAATTCTTCAGTCTTCTTCCATACCGATTTAACTAGATCGGACTTTCGAGCCTTTTTGTATGGTTTTACCACGTGACAATCATGAAAATGTTGGCCTGAATATTTTTCAATGTCCTTTTCCACTGCACAGTAGATCGTCGTTTGGGCTCCTTCAATAGCATTCTAAAACATAACATTTTAAATATATATTTTTAAATATCAGTAGTTTTTTTTCTAATAAGATTTTTCCTGCTATTTGAACAGTCTGCAAACCTACTGATACTTGTGAATGTACCAGGTCAAAGGGATGCGTGGCTAGATAGAGGACTAGCCATTACTAGCCTCAATCTTGGGGCATCAGGGGGCACCCCATTGTATTTACCCCTTACTTCTACATGCGGGGCTCTGTAGAAGTGGACCGACTCTCCCTAGCGACTCGTGTGAACACTATGAGATCTAGTATTAAAAACACCACCGGTGAAGCTGTGGGGAAGGCCCCTAGCGACACTGGAAACATTCCCAATGAAAGTTACAAGGTACCAAATCCAAAGGAAACTACAAGAGAAGCGGCTGACACTTGCTTGGGATCATCCTCCACAAGTGGCACCAAGCTACCACCTTCTCCAGACAGGGTCGGGAGCCTACCTCTAGACCCAATAAGCGACACAAGCTACCATTTCGTCTACCCGGCCTGGGTCAGCCAGGCCAGCTAGACGATCCTCTGAGAGTAGGTCTTAGCGGAGGAGAAGCACGGAGATACCTTCGACTTCTCCACGAAGGACTTGCTCCAGAGGAAGCAAAAGCGGAAACACTCCTCCGAAAAGGGGAGAGTAAAGAAACCAGTAAACAACCTGACTCATCTCCATCAAAGGGCAAGGGAGGGAGCGAGAACCTCTCACTTCTTCTCCGGCAGGGAGAGAAAAAACCCAGGATGGAAAGCCATCCAACACCTGGAGACAAGCAGGGACGTATCACCAGCTTTGCCGCTATTGCTCGACAAGTGAAAATGGCGGTGCTGCCAAAGGATTTCCCAGAGGTTGCTCTGACCACCGACCAGCAAACGTCTCTAGAAGAGGCTATACTGGACGAAGTAATGGCGATCGGATCGCAACACAACGATCTACAAAATGTGGGTCAGCTGCGTTTTGCGGGGATACACTTTCTGGTGGCCATGCTCCTCATAGAGTGTGTATCTCAAGAATCGGCAAATTGGTTGGTAGGAATCACACCTAAGCTTAAAAATTGGCAGGAGCCGGAACTGGTTGCAGTGAAGGGAGAAAACATCCCTAAAGGGGCGGCCATCACGGTATTTCTGCCGAGAACCAAGAGGAAAAACACCACCTACCTGCTGAGCCTTATCCAGGGTCAGAACTTCAATGTAAGGACATCGAGTTGGCGAGTCATCAACTCGAGGGAGGCGGGTCATGGTCAGATCCTCACAATAGGAATTGACCTCAAATATAAGGAGGCAATAGAGAAAGAGGGACATATCTTATATTATAGATACGGGACAACACCGGTATCAGGTCTAAGGAGAGACCAAGTTAAAGAGGTGGAGAAAATGGAGACAGATCCTCCAGCCTCCACCCCACGGGGTCCTCAGCCGGAGGCAAGCTTCTGGGCTGTGAAGGGCGGCACGGAGGGCCAAACTCCAACCATGGAAGAGTGTGTACCATCGGAGGAAGAACTGTTGTCAGAGGAGGATGGGAAATACCCTGTCCCCTCTACAGCAGGCATATGATGGATTATAGACTGTGCGATGACTCAAGGAATAACACAATAGATCTTTAAGGTCGCAGTGATTAGCCCCCTCTTACTCATTCTACATTCTACTGATACTTAAGTCTAATCTAACTTACTTTGAACATGTATCGAAGCACATTCTCGACAACTCCTTTAAACAATTCAGGCACATTTCTACTGAACTCTGTCAAAATAACTCCAGGATGTAGAGAGTAAGTTGTCACTTTGGTATTTTTCAGTTTCTCGCTGAGTTCGATGGTGAACAAGATGTTGGCTAGTTTGGATCTTCCGTAAACGTCAACCACCACACCACCCTCAGAGTTGAGATCGTCTACGCTTTTAAATTTGGTGTAATTAGCAGCCATGGATGCCACGTTCACTATTCTACTGGGTGCTGATTTCTTTAAGAGACCTAGAAAAAAATGAAAATTTGGTTTTAAATGAAATATTTGTATACAGGGTGGCGCACCTCATTCGCCTCGGTTGATTATACGAAAACGGAAAGATGTAGAAACAAATTATTGTATGGGTATATATGGGGAGGTAACGTGGCACAATTTAAAATTATTTTGAAATGTACAGAGTGTTTCAGAACTAAGATCCATACCAAAGATATATTTTTTCTTATGGAACACCCTGTATTTTATTTCATTTTTGGATTCTTGGGCCCAAAAAAAGGTATTTATTATAAGGGTTAAATATGTTTAAAATCTTTGGTTTTTGAGATATTTAGAGATATTTAAATTTGCATGCTACAATAGTATAGATTATTAACACCCTGTACATTACTTTTCTCAGAATTAATTCTTGTGCTGAGTTTAAAGGTAGAGAAATAAACTTTACAGAAGAATGTTATTCCTTCCTTAAATGTATACAGGGGTATCAAAAATTGCTGGTCTATTTTAAATATTTATTTTACATAAAAACTTTGTTATTTCAAATGCAACACTGTATTTTTTAAATAAGTTGAAGCAGATTTAAATGCTCTTTCAAACTATATTAGGATTTCCTATGCCTATCTGGCTGAGATTTTGAATAAAAGGCGATTTTTCAATTAAATTGTAATCAAGATGCCTAGTGTTGTCATGGGAAGTTTCTAGTGACAGTAGCTATTTTCAGAATCGAAATTAGTTTATGGACTCATTTAAATTTATACCAGTTTACTTTTATTTAATTTACCTACAATAGTTTAATAAATATTATTTATTAAATATGTGTTTATTATTCTATCAAGAAAAACAAAGAAGTAGTTCTTTGAATTATTTTACAATGAATTGTATATAATGCATTTTCTATAAAAGAGCCAATTACGGCAAATTCATTTTCTTCACTTCCAACGACAGGTTTCTGCCTAATAGTTTTTTTATAAACCACACTACCAGCTCTGCGAAATAGGACAAGCAGTTTTTCAAAGAAACGCTTATCAGGAAGATTCCTATTTGGATATCTTTGAGCATAATCCCAAATAATATCACTAGTAACATATCTATTCGTTCCGCCAGCAGATACTGCTTTATTTCTCTTGATAAATTAATAAATACTTACTTATTAAACTATTGTAGGTAAATTTAAGTAAACTGTTATAAATTATAAATAATAATGTACATAAACTAATGTCGACTTTGAAAATAGTTACTAACTGTCACTAGAAAATTGCCATGGCGACACCAGCCATCTTGATTACAATTTTATTGAAAAATCGCTTTTTATTCAAAACCTGAGCTAGATAGGTATGGGAAACCCTAATATAGTTTGAAAGAGAATTTGAATCTGATTCGATTTATTTAAAAAAATACAAGGTGTTGCATTTGAAATAAGGAAGTTTTTATATAAAATATATCCTTAAAATAGATCAGCAACTTTTGATAGCCCTGTATAAATTTAAGGAACCAATACCATTTTTCAGCAAAGTTTATTTCTCTACCTTTAAACTCAGCATAAGAATTAATTCTGAAAAGTAATGCACGGAGTGTTAATAGTCTATTCTATTATAGCCTGCAAATTTAAATATCTCTAAATATCTCAAAAACCAAAGATTTTAAACATATTTAACCCTTATAATAAATACCTTTTTTGGGCCCAAGAATCCAAAAATGAAATAAAATACAGGGTGTTCCATAAGAAAAAATATAACTTTGGTATGGATCTTAGTTCTGAAACACCCTGTTTATTTAAAAATAATTTTAAATTGTGCACATTGTCTCCCCACATATACCCATAAAATATTTTGTTTCTACATCTTTCCGTTTTCGTATAATCAACCGAGGCGATTGAGGTGCGCCACCCTGTATACATGGGGTGTCTGAAATAAGTGCAAATATTTTCGGGGTAGTATATTTCAAACCCAGGAACACGTCTATGAGTTTTTTTTCGCAAAAAAAGATGTTGGAAATCGTGCATTTTCTTTTAAATTTCCCTGTATATTTTTCGAAAACTTTTTAGAACTGCCTGTTCACCGCAAATTTTTCCACAGTATAATTTCTTAATCTCTGATATTACCATAGTTACGGCTTTACTCTATGGTTACGGCACTAAAGGAATGCAAATACAGAAAAAATCCGGTGGCTCTCAAATTGTTTTCAAAAAAAATCTCTCATTTTTTTTTTAATTTTCAAACCTTAATAACTCGGTTATTTCGGACCTATCTGAAAAATGGTAAAGAGAAAATATATTTGTTTTATCGAGATCCAGCAGCTCTGAAAATATTTGCACTTATTTAAGGCTCACCCTGTATAATATACTGTCTAAAAATACTAAAATCACAAATAATCTGATGGATAGATATAATAGAGCAATTAATTATCTGTCCGTCAAATTCAGCGACAAGCGACTCTATTATTTTAATCAATAAGCGTCTAGACCATCAAATTATGATAATATTATGACAAAATAAAGCATATGTTAAAACACTGTCAATGTATAATTTTAAAATGCTGTTCTTTTCTTGCTTGTTTTTCAGAATAGAGAAAAAAGGGCATTTAATCGATTTTGGGTTGATAACATATCTAATTTAAACTTAAATAGACACAGATTGTTATTCCTCAGCCGTCTTTGACGCTCTTTTTTTCAATTATACGATATTAAATGACCGAAAAACTTACCCAATAGAAGATGTGTTAACAAGAAATGTCCAAAATAATTCGCTTGCATGGTTGGTTGTAGCCCATCTCCAGTAAGACCTTTAATTTCTGGCACAGTTTGAAGTCCAGCGTTGTTGATTAATATATCCAGTCTTTCCTCATTTTTGTTGATTTCATCAGCGAATTTTCTTACGGACTTCAACGAACCCAAATCCAGAATCCTGTAGGATACGTTTGAATTATCTGTTTCGTTTATTATTCTTTGTACTGCGTCTTTGGCTCTTTGTCCGTTCCTGCAAGCTAGGATTACTTTGGCTCCTCTTTTAGCTAAATCGGCGGCTGTTTCATATCCAATACCTGCAAAAGATGTGCATATACATAAAGCATATTTTTCTTAGGCTGTATTCCGTTGCCAAAACCAGGCGAATCAGACCGGTAAACTACGGTAAAGAGCGGTTCCTGAAAAACATCCGTTTGATACGGAACCGTTTGGTAAAATATCAGAAACGTCAAATGTTGACGTTTTCTAAATTTCAATACCTCTACCTTGTACCTCAACCTCCATTATAAAATTTATCTTTTATCGTTGCCTGGAAACTTATATGGTGAAATTTTGATAAAATAATTTAGTACACACTAAAAACACGGTATGTCGCTAGTGGTAGGAAAAATAATTTTTAGAGGTTACTAGTTTATTTGGTTGCCTGTGATATGCATGTACAGGGTGTTTCCTAATTAATCTAAAAGATAAAAAATCGATAGAAAACGAATTAAGGCGGGCTATTAATAAGTATATTTTTTCTCGACAACCGTTTGATGAACAAGAAAAACTCAAAAGATCAATTTTGTTGAAAAAGGATGGCCAGTCAAGAAAAAATATATTTTCTTTAAAAAAGCAGTGGTGTACCATTTATGTTAAGCAAAAAAATCGATTTTTTTTAATTTTTAACACCCTGTAGATCAGAAAGGAAGTACTTTAGACCTAATGGTTATATAAAAATTGTTTTAAGAACACATGAGGAATCACACCATAATTTTTTAGACTAATTCGAAAACACCCTGTATATTGTCAACTTGACAATGACTGCTGATAAATCAAAAAATACCTTTTCAGTGAAAAAAGCCTGATTTTCGCAAGAAAAATTTTGATTTTTATTGAATTTGGGCCTGCGTTTGCAAATACTGGTTTGTTTTTTAATTTTCTATATATCTAAATTATAAATATCATAGTCAGAAATAGTTTTATTATTTATTAACTGTAAAAATGGTGTTTTCTTGTTATGTTGCATCTTGCAAAGAAACTAACAAAACTGCAAAACTGTACGTGTTTCCAAAAGACGATAAGATATGTATCTTAGATAAAAGAAAAATATATGGTATGTATTCGTTGTTTGATTTTTTTCGTTCGCTTTAAAATCTATAAATCTCGGTCTATTCATTAGACAGCAAGTCGACTTACGATCATTTACATGAAACTCTGTAAAATAAATAAAAAAATAAATTGTAAAATATATATATTCTTATGTTTCATTAAAGTTACTCTGATATACTAATATATCAGTGTAACTTTAAAAATAAATCCTTTGAATTCAAATATAAACATAAAAAACATTTACAGCAGAAAAGGCGAAGGCGCTGGGTTAAACATAAGTCTCCACTAAAAACACGGAGGGGCGCTTTGACCCAAAATTTTACTATTAAGTTTCATATCTATCTTAATAGTAGATTATTTTCTTTTATCTATGTCTTTTATGCATTTTTAATGTACCTATACTCTGCTTTTACGTTTGCTTCTTCTTTTCAATGGAGTTTAATATTGAAAAGTACTTTATTAATGAACTGTTAAATTCGTTAGACAGCTCAAGTGAAGATTTCCAGATCCAATATTAAAACAGATCAATAATAAATAAACAAATCTAATCAATATACATATATTTTTATTGCTTACAAAACATTCACGATTATTTGTTGTCTTGTTTTACATGTTTTCTTTAAATGTTCCTGACTTTAAGAAACAATGTTGCATGATAAGTTTAAATGTCTATTTAGTTAATGAAATTTATTTACCTTTACTTTTTTTTTTTTTTTAACTACCTCCATTGCTTTTGGATGTAAATACAAAATATTATTACAAATTTTAGAAATTAAATGAGAATTTCACTCGAACTTCAAATATTTGCTTGATTTCTGTCACATAAATGACATTGATTGACAAACAAAACCAGAAAAACCAGCCTTCTCGCGCTGGTTAGTTTAGTGACAGTTATAAACGAATTTTTCAGGAACCGTCTTTGAATAAGAAGACTAAGGAAGGAGCATATCAAAAATCTTAGGTACACCGCGATGGGCCTCAAATATGGCCGACTTAAATTTCGGTTTATCAGTGCCGTTCTAATTTTATTTAAAAAATGTAAAACTATGATGTAGGGTAGACGTGGGGTAGACTCAATAATTTGTTATTTTATTTTACGTTGTGAATAAATGTTGGGAGTTATTAAAATTGTTATAAAAATATATAATTCTAATAAAAATAGATAAGTTATAATAAGTATTTATTACCACAAACATCCGATACGCTACTGAAGCAGGTAAGTCAAATTAACGTATCTAAATTCTTTGACGTCTAATCTTTGACAAGTAATAAATAAAAGCTAAAATGCAAGTAAAATATATAATTTAGTTAATTTAAGTGAATTTCATAAATGATCGGTTTACTACACGTATGTATATTATATAGTCACTTACTAGCGAAAAGTTGTTCCATTATTTCACTCAATTTTTGCCGCGATCTACCGCACGCTACACAACCAACTATTTTAGAATCTTTTTCGATAAATCGCGATAGTGTCAGTGTTAATTTAAGTTCTGCAACAATTTCCATCTAGATTTACTACCTTTATACAACTATCAGTAGTAGAATAAATAATAAATAACATAAAATAAGCTCCGTAAAGACTGACAAATCCACAAAATTTTATATCAAATTCAAATGTGTCAAATGAATCGTCAAACAGAACTGTCAAGGATCCCCACCCTAGAGAGCTTTTATGGTGGCTTTTCCGCCCACCATGCATGAATACATGGATAGCATATGCTCCTTCCTTAGTCTTCTTATTCAAAGGGAACCGTGTTCAGTAATAAGAAAACTTTCAGGAAACCGATAGAAATGGAACATAAAACCATAACCAAGGTAAGCAACGGAATACACGTGTTGTAAGTGACAGTAAAATTAGAAATCTGTCAAATACGTTTCAAAAATTAAAGAAAATTACCGCTAATAAATGCTTACCGGTATTGGACCCTGTAACAATGACAGTTTTTCCAACTAAACATACATTACTTCTGCACCAGCCTGTTGTTAATTTAATGTAAATTTTTGCTAATACCAGGAATAACACTAAAACAGCTAGCACCGCAACTACACCAACCATCTTGAAATATGCCTATCGTAAAAATATAACTTACAAGCTTTGTATATTGAATGTTTAAAACAAAAGCATTACTACATGCGATAACTGTTTAAACAATAGTATAGTTTATTTTTAAATAAAGCTGTTCTAGATACCAACTATAATACCGACGCAAAAAAATTTTCGCCGGGAGGCACGTATAGCCGCCCATACTAAAATATGTTAATAAAAAGTTGGTAGGCAGTTCTTTTAGTTTCAAAGTAAAGGCATTTTTCCAATTTTTTATCTCAAAAACTGCGACTTTGACTGATTTTCTGTTTCGCTAGCTACTGTAATTTTGGAGTTACGATTTTTAAAATTTTTTAACCCCCTCCCATACCACCTTACCAACCCCGCACCCCCACCAAAAACTAATGGCCAGATTCTCGGGTGCCACAGTATTTTTGTGTCAAATTTGGTTAAAATCGGTTTAGCGGTTTTTGAGTTATCGTGTTACAGACAGACGGACAGACGGACAGACGGACAGACGAACAGACAGACAGACACCATAAAAATATTTTGTATTTAGGTCATTTATGACCCAAATAACTCATTTTGAGTGAAATTAAAAAAACTTTTTTTTTGCCGATCTTGATAACCTACCGTACCTGTTGGTATGGTCGGCTAATAAGTGAAAAAGAATTCGAACTAGGCGTCTTGTTGTGTTGTGTTGTGACAATTTCAAATGTTAATAAATTTGCCTAAAAAAATGTTAACGGGTGGTGCAATAACATTCAATAACATTCAATAACTCAACTTTCCCAGATATTCAACTCTCCCGAAACAACATTTTATAGCTTCATATTTTCTTACACCGATTTGATCAATAGCAAAAATGGATTCAAGCAGTTCTAAAAAACAAGTGAGTAAACAAAGTGCTCGTTACATAATCAAAAAATATTAATCGTATACTTTTTTAATCAACTCTTACCTATATTAAAAAAAAATATTCTCTTACCTATATTAAAAAAAATATTCAATTAAGATTCTGTAATAAATCATAGATGGTTATATACAATATGTACTTGTCTCACAGTTCACGAAACTTAATAGTATACTTGCCTAAGAATTTGTCTGTGTAAATCATTAATGAATGCATTTAGAAAATTACTTAGATTTTTTTTTAATTTTTGCCAGTAAAAGTAGTTTAATGCCATATACAGGTTGAAGTTCTAATTTGTATTCTTTAATAAATTTTTGCTGAAGATTTGATTTTTATGTAAGGGGCAAAAATAAAGAAAAAGACATAAAGATAAAAAGATATGGTCACTACCCATACAGCACGTCCAAATCAAATTAAGTTTCTACAAGGGAGACACATGAGAAACAAAACATGTTAAAGTGAACCTAAGTGTTCATCTAGTTCTAACATATCGCACCCTTAGTACTAAAGAGGCATAATCCCAAAAATACAGTTTTCTTATAAATGACAAAAAGTGTTGGTGTAATGGTAAAAGACTAACATAAATGTTATTTTTATGAAAAGCATTTTTGTGATATGTCGAAGCAATTGTTTTTATGATTGTTAATATAGTCGAGTTAAGAGGTAGTTAAAGTTTTTCGCAATTAAAGTGATATCGAGGATTTTGTGGCTTTGAGAATTAGATAAAATCAGTTGCGCCCCTTTAGTTCTAATTTTTTTGAAAATAAACAAAAACGTTTTTAGAAATGTGCCTGTTTTCGTTCAATTTTAGACTTTTATTGCGATGTTTATTTGGAGATGATACTTTTTATTAGTAAAAACTATGATTTTGTTATTATAACATTTATGATTGTGCCTCTGTAGATATAAATTCTAAAATGATTCTGGGTACTATAATACTATAGGAATTTTAAGGGAAACAACAGTATACACAAAAACAAAATTTTAATCATTTCATCGGTAGCTATAAAAATTATATTTTTATAAATCCGGTAACGCCTTATGCTACTCGTTAACTATAAACTTTGAAAAAATAAAATTTATTTCTTATTCTACTCGTAAAACTTTGGTATAACAATAGGAACCCTTATAAATAAACCAGTCTTATTACAAGTTTAGTATGATTTAAAAAAACACTTAATTTTACAAAATCGAGTTAAAAAAATCGGAATAAAAACTAGGTATTAGGTTTTTTGAAACGAGATCTCTTAAGTCTTTCTTCTTATTTTCACCAAGTTCAAGTTTTGTTGGATAAACCAGCCCCAATTGTAACTTTTCGATGGCTTTCATTTTTCTCCTTTGAGATCTCACAACTACTTCAGTGTAATCATCAGAATAAGATGTTCTATAAAAAAAGCTGTATGGCTTGTCTTTAATAAATTTAAGACTTTTTATTTTATTCCAAGATAAAACATTTCCTCGGACATCTTCCCTAAAATTACATCCCAGATCCTCTTGAAGTTTTTTAATATCAAGGAAACATTCGTGTGAGAGTTCGTGAACATTGAAAGAAGGCTTGGATTTTTTTGCGTTTTTTATTATAGTGACGTATTGATGGGGAGTGTATATGGGACCGGATTTTAGGTTCCTCTTAACTTCTTTTTCTATTAAAGAATGAACATTGTCCCCTTCATTCTGGGTGTGGCCTTTGATTAAAAATTTATGTGTCAAGCTTTTTATGTTGTAACGATTGATAGCACATAAATAAAGACTTGCAATAAATTTATTTTTATTCTGGCCACAGCAGTTGTCAGAATAGAATGCAATGTCTAATCCGGTCTCGTGTAAATGTGGATTACAGCTAAATATTGTGTCAAAATATTTCAGAATGCATGTGCCTATTTCAATAGCGCCACGTTTACCTTCTGTTTCGTTCGAATAAAAACAATGGACATCTTTGTAGGCATGATGTTTTTTAGCATTATCTTCTATTTTTTCTAATTCTACTAGAGTTAGGTTATAGCTATTTAGCTTGGACTTGTAATAAAAAGCGGAAGTATCACCCCTTGGACACTGTAGGACCGCTTGGAGATCGTAAACCACTACTTTTTTATTGTCTGATATTTCAGAACGATCTTGTTTCTTTTCTGTGCGGCTCAAATCTTTCTCTTGTAAATGGTTTCTATATTCTTCTTCCAAATTTTCTTTGGATGTTCCCTGTGCATTAAGATAGGATAGGCATTGGTCGCACTGATCCTTTTTGGGTTGATGAAACCCGATATTGAAGTCCCTTGTAAAAATATTATAATAAATCCAATATTTTCCAGCGCCTTTCTTCTTTGATTTCTGATCTTCTTCAAAGTCTTTGTAGAGTTGAGTAATAGTTTTACTGCCATCTATGTATTCACGTTCAGTAGTCGACCGCACGTAGTGTGAATCGATTCTCGGAATTGAATTGATGTGATTTTTGATATCCTCCTTAAGAAGTGGATCAATTTGTAGGTGATGATTGTGTTTTCCCCGATTATCATCTTGTAGAAATCCATTTTCACCCATCTTAATCCTTACAGTGCGAATCATCTTGTCCGATATGTCCAAGGTATTTTTGTAAAATGTTTTGCAAACTCGTATTGGCAAACCATTTACTGTGAAGTAAAAAGCCTGGTTGGCATTTCTAGGTCTTTCGGCATTCGTGTATTTGTATCGGGGAACTATATTTTTCATACATGACCCAACAAATGCACGTTGCTTATTAATATCCCCAAGTTTCCAGAAACTATTAAATATCGCTGTTCGATTTTCCGTATCGATATTATCACCACATTTTAATCGACATTTTTCAGGACAAGGTGATTTCATTGTTCTTTCTGGAATTTGTTTCTTGGACTTGGATACTGATTTGTAAGCTTTCCCACTGTTTCGAAGTTTTTTGGCCTTAATTTGCTTCCATTTTTCGGGATTTCTAGAACGTTTCCTCCCCTTGTGAATATTCTCTTGAAGATTTTCTTCATCTGTAGACGACTCTGAAGAATTATCGGAAGATGAATTCGAAGACAAACTATTTTCAGGCACTGGGAAGTTTGTTGATAGTATATCATTCAGAAAAGAATACCTAATTTGATAGTTTTCCTGTGAATAAGTCGGATCAGAATCGGTGTGGTCAACATCACTTTCATTTGAGTGAATCGGAGAAATGCGGTATTTTTTGTTTGTTACATCCGTACAGCATTTTCGTTTTATCTGTAATTTAGTGGGACACTCTTTATCTAGTTCAACAGTAAATGATTCAGTAGCCTGAAACACGAACAAAACGGTGAAGATTTTAAATATTTTTTGTAAAATGTTTTCAGCTTACTTCGACATTCGAACGTTGAATCAAATTATTTTCATTGGTCAAAGTTGAGTAATCTGATTTTTCTTTCGGGCGACCTTGATCTACTTCAACAGAATCATTGAAAGACTAAAACAAAAAGAATCAACTTTTTGGAGAACTTTTTGTTATAATGGTTGAAACCTACTATATCCAAATATTTTGTTAAATTTGGTTCGTTAACATCCAAACTGAGATGATCTGGTTTTTCTTGAACGCATTCTCTATCTACAGAACTATTTTTGCCCTAAAACAAGCATCATTAATTTACAAAATTGCAATTTTTTGAATGTCGTGATAACACTTACCAGCTCCAAATCTTCGTTAGTATCTTCAATAGATTGATTTGAGATGAAATTCTCAGTGAATTTTTCTTTACTACACTCTTCTGTCTCAATAAATTCGTATGAAGTCTAAAGAATAATAACAAAAATTTAAAACGCCTTTTAAAAAATACATACATAATATATTCTAAATTTACCATAATCGAGTTTATTGTATTATCCTGTTCGATGCCCTGATCTAAAACAATACGATTTTCCGGTTCGGTTTGAAATTCTAAAGGTAGGGTTTCCTAAAAGAAAAAAAATCCAATTAAAAATTAAAAAATGGCGCGGCATAATAAGGGTAAACGCATATAAAAACAAAAAAAAATCCAGTGCTTACCTTGTGTAAGGTAGATCTTGCTACACCTACCATTCTGCGAGCTCTTTCAGACATCACCGACGATTTTCTAAGGAAAAAAGAAATATCACAACCTAATATTTAGTTCTAGATGGGCCTAACTCGAAATGCTAAGAAGTATACATTTTCATAATTTAAATCAAAAGAGCACTAAGACCTAATGCGTTTTTCAAAATTGACAAAGTCTAAACAAAGTCAGTAAAAAAAAAGCACATTTCGAGATAATCATATAAATGTACTTATAATTTCAGTAATAAAAGGGCATTAACCTAAATACCTCTTTATAATTGCACCACTTTTAAATATAAAAAAGCACTAACTAAAAATAGGCCCCTATCACACTAAAAATTAAATGATTATTTACCTGACAATTTGTGAATCAAAGACACAATCACAAACACGCCGACAAGAAACACAACCTGTTCACTATAGTGTTGGCATGATACTGAATGGTGGCCGTTTAGTTCTAAAAAAGCGCGCGGCATCCATCAGTACTAAAAAGGCTGATATAGGTTTCTACACTTAAAAAAGTACGTTTTATGCGTAAGTCGGTTAGAAACCGATAGAGGGCAGTATTTTAGGCCCCTTTATGAATAAAACTGAAAAACCGTAATTTTTGAGTTATGCCCCTTTATAACTAAGGGTGCGATATACATATGAGATACACGCAGGTTTATATTGATAGAATTGTGTGATACAGTGTTTACTAGTTATACACCGTATACACTCAAGATTCTAAAGAGTTTTTTGTAACGTAACAAATAATTATTAAAATGATGAAATCTGACGTCGGTATATGAGACATACAATGTATAAGTCATGTCATATGTATGTGTGATACTTCGTATCATAGTTGTGCCTATAGTACACACCTTGTAAAAATGTGACGTATACACATAATATAAATATCTATATAGACACTTTGTAATAGTGTACTGTTGTGTCTACATTCTAGCATGAAATGAAGGTGTGCGCACGCGCGGATAGACTCAGCGTGGATACACCGACCAAGTGTATCTTATGTGTCCTCTCTCCTTTCTCCTTTCTAGGAGTGGTATGTGTTAGCAGCCATTATTGTTTTATCATTCGGAAGCTCTATATAAATGTTCCGTTTTTTTGTAGTTTAAAAGAGATTTTAAGGTAAGCACAAGTTTTTAATTACCTTGTTACACCTTCCTAAGAGTATTAGTAATATTATAGCAGCGACTCTTCCCTTACTCGATACCCAATTTACAAAATTTTGACTCCAATGAATGAAAACTCCAAATATTTTCGTATATAAAGAGGTTAGCTCTGCAATATATTTTTTTTTAATTTGGAAATAATAAAAATCTAAATGGACCATAGAAAGAAAGATTTACACTTCAAAGAATACAGTGATATTCGGTAAGTTATTGATGGATCAATATACAGATATGTTTAATATTCAATAATCAGTTTCATATAAAATTTAAGGGTGATATTGTTAATCTGGAAATAAAATTCAACAAAATCCAACAGAGTGCTCGATGAATGAGTATGCTAACAAACCAACTGTTTGGAGGGAAAAGAGGAGAAAAAAATGACTAAACGAGGTCCACCAAATCGTGGCGATATACCAGTGTTTACCATTTTAGTATGTTGTTATACTAGGTACTTATATTTTTAATACATTTTGATACAAATTCTGTTCTTTTACAGTGTTTTCTTACTTCTGGTTTCTGCAGTGTAAATAATTATTATTATTGTGTTATTTGCGCTATTGCGTTCCATGATATAAAGAAATATAAGAATTTTATTTTTAACCACTTAATCCATTTTATGGAAGAAAAATGGTACATTTAATACAAAACAAAAATGAAACAATTTTAAGGCTACTTCTCTTGAACTTACGATCGAGATACTTTTGGAAAATACAAGTCTTGCCTTCCTAATTTTCGTTCTAAAAAGATATAATTGGTATCATTGAATAAATATTTCTTAAAAAGAACGAAAAGTTAGGCATCAAAACTTGTATTATTGCCTAAATTCGTTCATAAGAAGTAGTTTTATGTAGCACAAGATGTATATACGAAGCAAAATACATACGTATACACGCGGTAGTCATAACTGCAATGTGTAAACAGAGTTTAAACGTAATACACAAGCACTGTGTATCCTACGGCACGCTGTGTATCCCTTACTTTGTGTATACGTAAATGCTATACTGTGACTACATTGTGAGGCGGACGTTTAACCCTTGTGCATACGTGTTGAACTACAATGTGTAAACGTAGCATATTTATATCGGGGGAATTGTGTCACCCTGTGTCTACATCTAATAATGTAAACACATCGTAAATGTGATTTGATGTGCTGTATGAGTAATTACTTTTGAAATAGTTGGGTATATGTATTTGAGACATGTACCCTTCACTTTTGTGATAAAATACAGTGTTACATTACATTTACATTTATAGTTTCATATTTATAGTTTCATAGCACCTAGCAAATTCAATTGCTGTGTGTGCTAGACACTCTAACAAATAACTAATACCTATATGAAAGAGGCCTCTAGTGATTAAATGTTTTATGAACATCTTCTAAAATTATAATTATGTACCTTTAACAAATTTCGTTATAGCCGAAATAGCTCCAATTATGCCCCACTAGTAAAACCGGTGATAAATCTATGCTCGCTACCGTATTTGATCTCATCTAATTTTTTTTAACTAGAATAATGCAAGTTAGACCTTCGGAAAATATCAAAATATTTACCTTTTTATTTATTTGTTTAGAATTTCCACAAATTACACTTTCTAACACTTTTAGAATAATTATATACTATTTTTTTCGTTTACTCACCATTTAAACCTGTGTATTTGTATGTGTTCGTTATTTACGAGTTCTCCGACGGTGGCAGCACCGGCGTACAAATGAACTGACAACATCAACTAACAATGAACAAAATTGCAAATTAAAATAAAATAAAATTGTCTTCAACATATCACATGTGTCTTTATTAATTATAATTATTTAATCGACCTATTTTTTTTGTTTTTGATGTTTTTTTATTACAGTTTAATAATAAATTCCTTAAAATAATTAAAAAATATCAGGCTGTGCTCCCGGAATAACAAATAAAACAAATATTGGGAGACAATTTCTTAATTCAAAATAATAAAAAATAAATTAAAGAAATGTTAACTTAATTTTTAGTACTGCTACTGCCGGATTGTTTTATTTTTGTCATTTTTGTATCACAAGACATTTGTACGTTAAATCTACTTTAATTTCTTCTCTAATTTTACTAGTTCTTCAGTCTTCTTCCATACCGATTTGACTAGATCAGAATCTCGAGCCTTTTTGTATGGTTTTACTATGTGGCAATCATGAAAATGTTGGCCTGAATATTGTTCAATGTCTTTTTCCACTGCACAGTAGATCGTCGTTTGGGCCCCTTCAATAGCATTCTGAAACATATCATTTAAAATAGTTTTTTAATTGTTTAAATGCCATTGAACTTACTTTGAACATGTATAGAAGCAGAGTCTCGGCAATTCCTTTAAGGATTGCAGGCGCGTGTCTACTGAACTCTGTCAAAATAATTCCAGGATGCAGAGAGTAAGTTGTTACTTTGGTGTTTTTCAGTTTTTCGTTGAGCTCGATGGTGAACAGGATGTTGGCTAGTTTGGATCTGCCGTAAATGTCCATTACGACACCTTTCTCCGAGTTCAGATCGTCAGCCTTGTCAAGTTTAGTGTGGCGGGCGGCCATGGATGACACGTTCACTATTCTACTGGGTCCTGATTTCTTTAGGAGATCTAGAAATAAATACAAAATTAAGTATTAAATAATTGTACCAGGTAGCTATATTCTACACACATGGCCAAAATTTTTGCATATATCGTTGAAAATATAGTAGATATATACATAGCTTTGTAATATATAATATGTAATAAACATTTCTTTTTTAAAAATGTTTATCGTTCAGACCCAATATTATTACAAATTCTTGCACATTTCGATTTGTGGTCTCTTGGGTTTCAAAAGAAATTTGACCATTGTTTTGGCCTTAAAATGCCTAGAAACATTATTTCACAGTTTAATAGAGTCAGAATAGTAACACTGTCTCAACAGGGATACCGGCAAGTTGCAATAACTGAAATTGTAGGAGTTAACCAAAGTGATGTTTCGCGAATATTAAAAAAAATCAGAGAGACAAACGAGGTTACAGATCTGCCTGGCAGAGGTAGAAAGAGAGTTACTACTGCTGTGCAAGACCGTCAAATATCCCTAATTGCACGACGCAATCCCCTGCTTTCTAGCACTGCTGTTAAAAATGAGTTAGCTCGCCTTGGAGGAGTAAATGTTTCAAGAAAGATCATAGCAAGAAGACTCCATGACAGAGGATTACATTTAAGGAGGCCTCTACGTGTTCCGAAGCTTAATTTACAGCACAAAATTACGCGACTACCATGAGCTGAGGAGATGGAAGCAAATGGACCTAATTGAAATTTCGTCATGTTTAGTGATGAAACAAGAATAGGCCGTGTGTCAGACTCGCGACGAACTTTGGTCTGGAGAGCATCTGGAAGACGAGCACGCTTGAATGCAGCTCAACCCCGTGTCCCGTTTCAAGGGGGAAGCATTAAGCTGGATTTATAAACTCGGGAGTTGAGGTTCAGTTGAGGTTCAGTTGCCGTTCAAAATGTTCAACGCTATGAAATGAACGCGCGCATTTATAAAGTCAGTTGGTCGAAAAGTTGGCAGTTCGTTTTACGTTCAGCGGAGTTCAAAGATGGCCAATGTTTATGTCGGCAGTTGCGGGCAGTTGGCGACCGCTGGCGACGTTCGGCGACAGCCAATGAATAAGCGCCTGTCGATCACGTGAAGCACAGTACGCCGATGCATTGGAAAATGACCCTTATTGTTGTTTCATTATTTCTGTTAATGTGATGTTTATATTTTGCGTAATCGTGGATTACTGTGTTTGAACTTTGACAAATACCAGAAGTATTTTTAAATCGAAAGAAAAACGTTCGAAATTTTCACAATTCCAAACCTAACCTACAACCGAAACTGACAGTTTATAAATGCAAAAATATTGAACCTCAACTGCCGCGAACATCCAACTGCAACTGAACCTCAACTGAACGCCAACTTTTGAGTTTATAAATCCAGCTTTATGGTATGGGCATAGTCGAGTAAAAACGATATGTGTCAAAATATTTTTTGGAGGTATAACTACATCATATCTATACAGGATTATCAGTTAGGGCTTTGTGCATGTGAAATGACTAATTACGACCTTTTTGGGGGGGGTCAGAAATTTTTTATCATGGAAAATGTCAAAAATCTCTCAAAAATTTATAACTATGTTTTTTTACCTTTCCTACGCGATAACTTCTAAACTAATCAACTTATTCACATAATCTTTTTTTAATCGATTGAGAACATATAGGCGGTTATAGCTGAAGTAATTAAAGTTCCATAGTGAGTGTATTTTTTTTTTTGAAAATGGATGAAACTTCAAACATTAACTTTATTGTATCATGATTTTCAGTCAGCGAGAAACTTTTTTATTTGAAGGTATTTTTACACAGTATCTGCGTATGAAATAAAGTAAAAATATAGAAAAAGTTTTTAAAACTTGGTACAATCTTCTATTGCTAATACTTTTCTAGTTAACCCAAATTAAATTGACGAATAGGTCGCGCGCGACACCGCTCGGGCCTCGCCGCCCGCCCCGAGACTCTTCGATTTTAGTTGGTGGCACGGCGAACGCGAAGTTCCGTAAGCCTATTTCTGATTATGTGCATTGTACCTGCAGTTTGAAATTTAGTAAATTCTGTACGTTATAAATTATTTAGTTATGGACTGTTTAATTTGCAGAAAAACTATTAACGAAAATTATAAGTTTTTTATTAAAAATCTTACTATAGGAGACCTAAAATCTATCATAAATGCTGCGGAAAAAAGGCAAGATGATGTTGCTGTGAATATTAAGCCAAAAAGATGATAATATCATCTTTTTGGTTTAATATATTAATTAATAATTGTTAATATATTATATTAACAATTATTAATTATTAATATATTATATTAACAAAAAGAGAACTAGTTAAATATGAGATTTTGATATTATAATAATGTGTTTGATATGTGATAAAATAGGAAAAACGGGCAAACATCACAAATTAACATCTAAGCTTGTTGCAAAAAAATGTTGTTTACAAAGATAGTATACTTGCCAAGTACGCAAATATTGGCGTACTTGCCAAGTATACGAGTCGTCAGAATCCGCCTTTATATGTAGGTACGCAAAGCTTTCTGGATATGACGATTTATTTGCATATGCTGCTAAATACCACAACCTCTGTTTATATAATCCCAAACAAATGAAGGTTAAATTAACGACATTTTTAATTAAGAAAGCATACTGTACATTGGATGAATTTTTCACTGACATAGATTAGTATTTTTATAATATCTCTTCCCGCTTTTATTGTTTGTGAAAAAAATGTTGTGCTGTTTCCTTGTGTGTTTTTTTAAAATAGGTAATTATAGTTTTTGTGTTATAGATAGCAATTCATTCAAACATATTTCACATCATGTGAAATATGTTATAAATGCTATTAAATACATGTGAATCACATATATTTTAATTTCTAATTCTACGTTAAAATTACTTTTAGTAATTTTTTTGCATTTTAATTGAAAGTATACTTATTTTTAGTAAATATTTATTTAATATTAATTGCGATATACATACATATGCATATCTTTTTATTCAACTGTAGTCATATACATAATTAAGTATTATTGGTTTTTAGGCTTAAGTTAATTCAATTTTAACAATGTTCCATGCTTATTAGGATTTGTATCAATACTTTGTTATAGTTAGAGATCAAATAAATATTATCTAGCCTAACATCCTTCATTAAAATCTATAACGTTGGTTAGAAAAGAATCTAAAAAAAAGATTCGAAGAAGAGAAAAATCTAAAAAAGAATCTAGCGTGGCAAGTAGTAAGTAATCTAGCATGGCAAAAGTAACTTTTTAAACTGGACTGATTTTAACAACACTTTAGTTGACAACGAAATTTTTGTTTCCAAAATATTATACTTGCCATTTATAAACAATCCACCTACCGCGAATGTGATACCATATATATTTCAATGGTAAGATTAGTAGATTTAGCTCAAACTTTAAAACAAAACCATATTTATATAACAGCACACTTGGTCATTTATTCGAAAGCTCGCGAAATATTATGGAATAATCCTAAATTATTACATGGGAAATTAACATTTATGCTACGCAGAATGCGCCTTAATCCGGCGTTTTTTGTCAGTATTGGATATATTTTTTTTTGAGATTGGAGGCCATTTTTACGGAAACAGATAATTACGTCGAAAATACTTGTATAGTTATGTAAGTTGAAAAATAATATTCCAGGGCTATTCGAGGACTAACTTTAGTTGCCGGTGCTCTTTTTAGGTTTTTGTTTAAATCTTTATGTAAGTGGTATAAAGAGCAAAATTAGAAAACACAAATTATAACACCTACATGTATTAAAAGAAGAAATTCGTAGTTTAATAAAATAGTTTCAAACCTATGCAAACGTCAGGATATGTCTTTATTATGTAATAAAAATAATGTAATCATGTTTTCATTAAAATATTACAAAAATATGTCATATTAAATCGACACCTACATATGTGCCACTCAGATATTAAATAATTACTTATAAAGAATTTTCTACATTTACTCTAAAACATAAATTAATGCCACTCTAGCACGCCGCGCCGTACAACGCGATGCGACGACTCTAACTACAGTGCGCGCACGGTATACTGATAACTTTAAATCAGTATAACTATAAAACTATTAGTAATAGAAGGTTGTAACAAATTGTAAAAACTTTTTCAATATATTTTCTTTATTTCATACGCAGATACTATGTAAAAATTCCTTCAAATAAAAAAGTTTCTAGCTTACCGAAAATCATGATACAATAAAGTTAATGTTTGAAGTTTAATCCATTTTCCCAAAAAAAATACACTCACTATATAACTTTAATTACTTCAGCTAGGACCGTCTATGTGTCCTCAATCGATTAAAAAAAAGAGTATGTGAATAAGTTGATCACTTTAGGAGTTATCGCGTAGGAAAGGTAAAAAAACATGGCTATAAATTTTTGACAAATTTTTGACATTTTCCGGTATAAAAAATTTCTGACCCCTCCAAAAAGGTCGTAATTAGTCATTTCACATGCACAAAGCCCTAACCGATCATTTCATAACGATTTTATGTGGTTATACCTTCAAATTTTTTTTTAGAGAAGGAAGCGACTTTTCTCAGTGATTTTACTCCACTAGCATGTATAATGCACGGAGCTCGAACTCCTCTTGGTTTTATAGATGGCACAATCAGGTGCGTTGTTGAGTAGATAGAACGATTTTAGTTAGATAGAAAGATTTTTATATTTTAACAGAAACTGTTTTATCATAATTTTTTCGCAGAAAAGTTTATGTTTAATTGAAAAAAAAAATCCCAAATTTATTTTTTCATTTATATGTTTTTTCATTTTGTTTATTTTTGTCAATAATGTATTTACTATTTCCATTCTAAATATCTTGAGAACGGTTGCTCGTAGCGATTTTTACAAAGAGGCATTTTTTACGTAAAAAGTCACGGAAATGTATATTTCTCTAATCAGTAGTTTTATACAGGTACGGACGAAAAGTTATCATGCTTCAAAACAGTTAAAACACATGTAGTTGGCGCCCCCTAAAAATAGGGGGCGCTACCTACATGT